TGTCTTCGCTTTTGGGTATCCGTATTTCCGTATTTAGACAAAGCTGGGCAGGGCAATTAATTCTCCTGAAAGCAGAGTGGACTCCCAGCCGTCATCCCGAATTCTAGGGTATGGGCAGAGGGAGGGTCCCTTCCCATTGCCTTCCAGTGACTTAGCATCGTCATGCATCTCCAGGCAGGTGGGATGTCCTCTTGGGCATTGTGGCTTCTAGACCCGAGCGTGTCAGGGCAGGCTCACTGTCAGCAGGTGGTAAAGCTGCTGCCCCCATTCGCTTTCAGTTTTAGAGGTCCTTCAGAAAAGGCAGTGAACTTCTTTGGTTTGAAATAATTTCCCAACTCAGAGGTGGCTGTGCCTGTCCCTGTGGGTGAGTCACATCTGTGTGTGAGGTTTGCAGAGTGCTGACCTGTGGGTGCCATTGAGTCCTGACACTGGGAGACTACAGGGCCACTCCCTGGTGCCTGCACAGCCCTTAGGCCTCCCTAGGAAAGCCCGTGTAGCCAGAGTCCAGGTGAGGTGAGGACGTGCCTCTTCTTCCTCTTAGTTCCCAGGGCCCAGGCAGGCCTCTCGTACTGTCCCACCTTGATCAGTGAACTTCAGGTTCCCAGAGTCGGTCGGTCGTAGGAGTCGGAAGGCCACACCCTGATTCTGTCAGCCCACCCTGCAGGGAGAGGGGGTTAGATAATGGGAGAAAGTCGCTGGGAAATAATGAGTGTAATCCTTGGTGCCAGATGGGGCGCCCAGGGTGCTCATTTCATTGCTGTGGAACTGCGTGGCTTATGACCCAGGACCCCAGGAAGCACTCACTGAAATGTTAAGTTACTTGTCCTGGGCGTGGCAGGGGCAATTCCTATTCAGAAGGACTCTAGATTGACTCTCTAACAGCCTGCCTGCCCCCCAGTTTGGCCTTGCCAACCACCTGTGCTGCTTTGAATTGGAGCACAAAGAGGGGCCAGGGAGGGGACGGGCAGAGGCCCTCCTGCCCTATTGAGCGGAGTACCCACAGGAGCGAGAGGCACAGTTCTAGCTAACTGGAAGCTCTAAGGAAATACTTTGTTTCTTTTTTCAAGGAAACTTATTTTAAGTTATCTGTCCTGTTGGTAAGTTTACTTCTCTTGCTTAAAGAACAAAGAATAGTCTATCTGACAATATATTTTTTTTCTGAAAGTAGGTGGAAATAAATTCATTTCCTTTGAAAAAATCATTTCCCATAAAAGGTAGCTGTCACATCCCAAGGCCTTACCGGGTAAATAGGGAATAACCTGGAATCATCGGAGGAGGATTGGAATCCGGCACGCCTGGGCTTCTCTTCTGGCCCAGCCGTTTATTCGGCTCCTCCCCCGAGGCCACTGAGCCCTGGATATGGACGTAACAGCATCTCCTTGCTGGCTCGTCTCGAGTAGAGAAGATGTACACCCAGCGCTGGGCACACCGTATGGGCAAATCGTGTGTAGCAAATGTCATCATGGCGGGGTGTTTGCAACTTGGCGTGGGTGGGAAGAGAAGAATAAAGAGAAATGGAGGGAAAATCCCTATTTGCACTACAGTTAGATTGAGGATTGGGCGTCCTAGCCCTGCTTTCCTGCCTGTCCCCATCAAGCAGATCTTTCATCTTCAGGAATACTGCTAGGTCATGACGGCCTTGGGAAAACGGGTCTCTCTCTCTCACACCTTCTCTCATTGAGGACACCCCATCCAGAGGAAGGTAGAGGGTTGCTTTGTGCAGCTGGTGAAGGTAAAGTTCGCTTTCATTCTCACCCTGACAAATTGCCGAGGTGCTTGTCGTAGTACGAGGTGGGGGCATTTGGACAGAGAAGCAGAGGAAGACACATTGCTTGCATAGACATTTCTGCACGGGACCATTATCTGATCGGCTTTCCTGTCTGTGCTGTTCTTGTTAATAGTTTCCCCTGACACGTTAGTTTTATCATATGGAAGGGTTTCTGACAACCAGGGGTTTGGCCAACCACGGATATGCTTCTTGGTGCTTTTACCTGCAGTGGCGTGAATAGCCTGACAATGAAACTACTCTTTTAAAATAAATTAGACACAACTTGCTAAAAATCATCGACAACCTGCTCAGAGTCTCAAGAACTGGGAGCTTTAAGGACATCATTTGACATGGAAGTTGGGCTTTCCCTTGTAGAAAATCTGGAAAATACAGAAGTGAGTAGAGAAGAGAGAACCCCACCTGGGTCCCTCGTTGCGCTCTCTTCATTAGCCCCCTGTACTGAGCCCCACAGGTCACTGGGGCCAGGGACGTGTTCCGTCATTCTTGGTACGTGATGAGGTATCCAGGCTTGGTGCCCCCTCCTCCAGGGGAGGAATGAGCACCAGAGTCGAAGTTAGGGCTTGATTCAAATATTCACTCTCGGGACCAGCAGATGGTGTAATGGGTATGTCACTGGACTCCCATGTATTCAACTATGGGTCAAGTCCTGGACCCGGTGGCTTAAAACTCATGCCGGCCACTTGTATTGTATGTATTGTATTGCACACATGTGTGTGCCCAAGATCTCAAGAGGAGAATGGAGGAGAACAGAATATGGCATGGCCATCTCCCCAGGGGTCGATTTCTTGCTTTCTGTCTCTGTCTCTCCAGTAAGCACACATGCCCTGTACCAAAAATCTCTTAAAGAAAACAAGAACAAACCAAATATTCCCTCTGTGTTAGTTTTCTATCGCTGAGTAACACATGTAGCAGCTTAGAACACCACATATTTCTGAGCTCGTGGGTCTGTAGGTGGAAGACCAGACGGGAGAGTCCCAGCGGGCCCTGCTTGCTTCTCCACTTCAGATCTCACAGGGCTAAGGTGTGTGCCAACCAGACTGGTTTCTTACCGAGAGGCTTAGGAAGAATCCACTTCCAGACTCATTGAGGGTGCTGACAGGATCCAGTTCCCCATGTCCATAGATCTAAGGTTCCCCATTTCCTCCTTAGCTGTCAGCAGGGAGCCATCCTCTCCAAGAAACCACCAGCATTCCTCCCCGTGTGGCCCTCCCCATCTTCAAAGTCCACCGAGTCCTTTTCCCCCGTTAGCCAGACAAAACTTTTTACTTTTCAAAGGCTTGTGATCAGACCGAGCCTACCGAGACGGTTTCCCTTTTGCTATATTTGTCATCATCAGGAAGGGGGTCATGGGGCCTTACTGGGCCAGTAGGTGGTGTGGTGGTAAGGCATCTAAATCACACACGGCCAGCCATGCAGTTCGAGTCCTGGACCTGACAGCATGAAAAACATGCTGGGCCCATGTGCATGCATGCCCAAAATCCCAAGGGGAGGATGGAGGTGCAAGGCTTGTGGTGTGGTCATGGTCATCCCCCTGAGGTGCTTTCTCCTTTCCCTCTCTCTCCATGTCTCTCTCTGGTGAGCAATATTTTTTTAAAAAAGAAATTCTTCTTCACCCCTGAGTCACCTTGAACAGATCACATAACCTCTCCGAACCTTTTTCTTTTCAGTCCCGTAGGCCCAGTGACAGGTTTTGTCCGAGTTAGAGAAGGGGAGGTAGTATGTGCTTCTGAGTAGTGGCGGGGGGTAATGTTTTTACCCTCCCCTTGTTAAGCCAGTGTTATTTAAAAGCTGTCGTGTCTAAATCGGATACAACAAAATTGCGGAGGACTGCTTCGTCTAACGTACTCGTCCTGGGGTAGGTCCCAGGGCACAGCAGTAGTGTGCTGCCCATGCAAAGCTGGATGCGTGTGGGCGATTATAGGTTCGGTTCCCCCAGGAACCTGTAGGCACCAGGCTTACACACCCGTGATCCTGGGTGGCTCGGAAAGGCTGGGGGACTGTGGTGTGAGACCCTGTGAAGGCACTCTTCTCTCGCTCTGTCTCTCTGTCTCTCACTCTTATGAAACAAATATATCATTTCAAAAAAAACGGTTTTAAAAAAGTGGTCATGATCTGTATGTGTTCTTTGCTGAAGAAGAAAGAGGGACAGTGTGCCCTCGTCAAACTCTTCCTGGATTTTTCTTGCTTCCCCCAGGCCCCCACCGAAGGCTTTGGTGACACTCCTTCAGCTGCCATCTCTGGGAGCCCCGAGGGTGGGGCGGGACCTCTCAGCTTTGTCCTCACACACGTGGTGGCTCTGGCCAGCCCAGCCAGCAGCTGGCCCCTGCCAGTCAGAGAGGCTGGCCTGTCTAGGCGGAGGATGCGAAGGGAGGGTGCGGGGCCTGCCTGCCTGCTCACGGCCTGTCTGCCTGCCCTCTGTGCCCTCAGGAGATCCCCCACGAGCTCACGCTGGATGCCCTGCTGGAGATGAACGAGGCCAAGGTGAAGGAGACGCTGCGGCGCTGCGGGGCCAGCGCTGAGGAGTGTGGCCGGCTGCAGTCCGCCCTCACCTGCCTGCGGAAGGTGACGGGCCTGGGTAGGTGGGGCCTGCTCCCTCTCCCTGCACCGCCTCTGCACACCTCTATGCTGCCTTCAGTCCCAGGCCTGCCTGGATCCCCGGGGAGCCCAAGCCTCCACTGAGGCAGGGAATGGGGTGGGGCGTGTGTGACCCGAGGTTTCTGGGGCAGCTGGGGAAGGCCGGGGTGGACATTCATAAGGGTGTGATGGCCTTGATCTCGGAGGGAGGCGTGCCCAGGGTCCCTGGATTCTGGGCCCCTGTTGATCTGGCCAGTCTGAATCTGGGGGAGCATGAGCCATTGTTAGAAGCCCCTGTCCTCTCTGCTGGGCCTGTGTCATGTCCCTTCTATGGACGGCTCTGTGTGCCCTACACAGTCACCTGCATCCCAGCTCCCACCTCCAGCCCCGCCCCACCTTCTCCTGTCTCCACGGCTGGCCGTCTCTGTGCTCATAAGGCACATGTGGACACGGGCTTAGCGTGAGCCAAGCATGATTAGAGAAACCATATGGCTTTTCAGCTGGGAGTGTGTCCATGACTGTCCCAGTCAAAGTGTATAATCCCGGCATTACTGCGAGGTCCTCGGGAATTCTCTCCAGGCTTTCCAAATCTCGCCTCAGAAACAGCTTCACTGTCGGCCTGAATGCTCCCACTGCCAGGGAGATAAGCATTAAAGTGAGCTTCATGAATGGGGTTAGGCCTGGTTTTTAATTACCTGAGCCTCCTGTCTTATCGCTGGCTGCCTGAGGCTTACAGGAGCCACTGAGGTTTCTGTTCTGCTTGAGTTTTTTTCTTTTCCCAGAGAGGACTCAGCCTCATTTCTGCCCTGGCCCCATTGTACCAAGTTCTCTATAAACACACAGCATAGTGTGGAGTGTTCCATCCAATTCAGAAGATTCTGACATGCCACCGGCCCCCAGCAGGTGTTGGAGATAAACATGACAGGGGCGTGGTCAGCAGTCTCTTCCCCACATATTATGGAGGGGGTATGATCAGCATTCTCCCCCCCACCCTGCACGTATTATGGAGGGGGCGTGGTCAGCATTCTCCTCCCCACATATTACGGAGCAGGGCGTGGTCAGCAGTTCTCCCCTCGTATTGTAGAGCCAAAGCCTGAACCCAGACAGGAAGGGCCTGGTGGAGGACACAGCAGACTGTGGCAGAGCCAGGTCTGAGCCTCAGCTCCGATGGCTATCAGGTTGTTTGTGTACCACAGAGGGGTAGAAGGACTTGCCACCCGTGCTGGGATCTTTGTGGTAACTCCTCAGCCCTCCCTCACTCCCTCCTTACACTTGCACTGTAGAGTGTGGAAGAGCCTACTGTGGAGTGGTTGTGACCCCTTTGTGCCATGAAGGTTGCTGTCTTCCTGTCCTGGAGGCCAGGGTAGGGAGATTGCTAATTTATCGAGCACCTCCTGTACGCCGTGGGTACGGTATGTCACAGGCTGTGGCTATACCTTGTAAGAAGTGGCATCAGGCTCATTTTGTGGCTAATGCCGGAGTGTCAGAGGCGTTGGGTGTGTCATCCCAGGTCCCACACCTGGCACAGCAGGGCTGGCCTTTGAACTCAGGTGTCTTCCTGAGGTTGAGTCTTTTCTACTAGACCCAGGGGGAGGTCCCTAGGGAAGGACATTTTCCAGGCTTCATCTCACCCAGTCTCAGCATGCAGTGCCCCTCTATCCCCAAGAGAGTCCTGGCCACATCCTAGGCCTGAAAGCAGGTTTGCCGTCTGCCTGGTGTGGTGGTGCACGTCACAGTCACCTCCTGGGGACCCACACTCGGAGCATCTTCATCACACCCGCTAGGGCTTGTCAACACTGGCTATGAAATCAGACTGCCTGAGCCCAGCATTCTGTCCAGCAACTTAGAACCCATGGGGTTCAGCTTCACTGAGCCTCAGCCTCCTCATCTGTAAAATAGAGGCAATAACGCCTCCCTCGTTGGGTTCTCATAAAGATGAGATGAGTTAAGGTAAAGTTTGGACCAGAGTCTGGCAAAGAGTGGGTACCCTCTTCAGAATTAGGCCTATGGGGTAAAGAAAAAAATTGATGGCCTCCCCCTTGCAGGCTCTGGTCATAAGGAAGAGAAGTGGAGGACGGTTCTCTGTGCTGGTGAATAGGGGTGTTCTTCCGCGGGCCCTCCCTGTCTTTCCTCCATAGCAGACATCACTAATCAATCTATGAGCTCTTTAATGGGGTGATCCCAGAGTCGTCCTTCAGCAGCCACTGCCATCAGGCTGGTGCACACAGCACATCGAGCGTCACCTGCCATCCCTGAACTGGGGCTTGTTTCCTTTGTGGAAGATTTGCTCCCTGCTTCAAAATCTACCTTCTCGTCTATCCACTCATGGATCCATATGAGAGAAGGGAGGTCTCCCTCTGACAGCCTCTTGGGATTCTATATACAGGGCCTCCTCTCTGTCCCCAACCCTTCAGTATTTCCCTATCTCCTATAGGGTCAAACCTAATGTCTTTAGCAGGACATCAAGTCCTTTCTGAGCTGCCCCCAGCTGGTCTGACCCCTCCAACTTTGTCTTTTGCTTCTCTCTGGCTTGTCCTGACCGCAAGGCACACGGAACTCCTTATGAGAATGTGCCACGTGCTCCTTTGCAGGTGCTGTTCCCTCTGTTTCATACACCGTCACTATGCTCCTTGGCTCAGCCCTTGTGCCACCTCCTCTGAGAAGCCTTCCATAACCTCCCCAGGCTGACGTAGGGTCCTCTCCTCTTACAGAGGTCCCACACATGGTGTATGGTGCTATGTCTGTCACTCTCTTAGACTCTTAAAGCTCAGGATCTGTCTTGTTTTTATGCGTTGACACTCAACTTCCAGCAGATCCTTGAACGAATGCACAGACCATGTGAACCCCATGGAGACACAAGGTCCCAGGGGCCTCAGCGGAGAGCCTCAGGTCATGGAGGCGGGAGCCGAAAGTCACTCAGCTCTTCTCAGAAGGAACTAGCTGGTGATCCCTTTCTGCTGAGCTCTTTTTCAAAAGCCTCTGGGCAACCTCTTCCCCTGATGTTGGAATGTTCTTAAAGTAGAGTTTTCCCTTCCTTCACATACTTAGCTTCCCTTCCTAACTCTTTTTTTTTTTTTTTTTTGGAGAGATTTTCACTATAGGGCGTGTGCCCTTGCCAGACAGAGAGAGACATAGAGACAGAAAGCGAGAAATCGCCCCCCAGGGGGGATGGTCACACCGCAATTCCTTCTCCTCCATTCTCCTCTTGGGATCTTGGACACGCACGCACATGCGCCCGGCGTGAGTTTTAAGCCACCGAGTCCGGGACGCGAACCACAGTTGACTACGTGGGAGTCCAGCGACATAGCCATTACGCTAACTGCTGGTTCCCCCCTTCCTAACTCTTAAAGACCCATCACCACCTCCCTTTCTGGGGTCACATGTGGAGTGGGTTTCCTGGCTTGCCTCCCCTAGGCTTGCCGGCAAGAGCCCTGCAGGACCTCCCTCTGTAAAAGGGAGACAGTAATGTCTGTGCCAGTGGCCTCAGGCTCAGCCAGATGACAGACACCGTGTGTGCCTGAGAGGCCCGCATAAGCCCAGGAAAGGCCGGTAGTGGGAGTCTTCCACTAAGGATCTGTGCGACTTTGGACAAGGCCATCTCACCTGTAAATCCCTCTAGCCGTGACCATCTGTGACTCGACTTCTCGGTCCACAGGAGGCGAGCACAAAGAGGACTCGGGCTGGAGTTCGCTGGATGCTCGGCGGGAAAGTGGCTCGGGGCTTTCCACAGATACCCTGTCTCCAGCCAGCCTGCCCTGGCCCCCAGGCAGCTCCCAGCTGTGCAGAGTGGGCTCCAGCGCCCAGGGCCCACGCTCCATCTCCGTGTCAGCCCTCCCTGCCTCTGACTCCCCAGCTCCCGGCCTCAGCGAGGGCCTCTCGGACACCTGTATCCCCCTGCACACCAGCGGCCGGCTGACCCCCCGTGCCCTGCACAGCTTCATCACCCCTCCCACCACGCCCCAGCTGCGCCGGCACACCAAGCTCAAGCCGCCGCGGACACCGCCCCCGCCCAGCCGCAAGGTCTTCCAGCTGCTGCCCGGCTTCCCCACGCTTACCCGGAGCAAGTCCCACGAGTCTCAGCTGGGGAACCGCATCGACGAGGTCTCCCCAATGAGGTGAGCCTGCCTGCCTACGAGCACGGCGATGCAGTCTTCTCTTCAGGAAGGTGTAGAAAAGGACAGATAATAGAGAAGTGTGTGATGTAAGAAGCCAAAGGTGCCCTCACCTCTTGGTCCAGCCCCCTACCCCACCTTAGCAGTGGGGGCTGAATCCTTCTGTAGATTCCTTTCTGTACGTAGATGAACGATGCCACCCATGAGTCAGGATAGGCTGGGTTATGCTGCAGAAACAAATGAACCCTCAGGTAAAGATTTATTTCTTGCCCATACTGCCTGTCCATTGTGGGTCAGCCCCTTCCAGGTCCCTGACTGACAGGACAGCCACTATTGGCCTGCTGGCCACGATGGCAGAGGGAAAAGTGAGTTCTAGATGCTGTGCGTTGGCAATTACAGACTCTGTCCTGGAGGTTCCACTCATGTCGCCTGTCTCTGTCTGTTACTGTGTTGCTGTAACAGAGTGTCTGAGACCGATTAGGGAAGACAGACGTTCACTTGGCTCATGATCTGGTGGCTAGAACGTCTAAGGGCATGGCATCAGCCTCTGGTGCCACGGCACAACGTGGCCAACGGTGGTGTAAAGGCCAGAGGGGGCGTGCAAAGAGAAGTATGCCAGCAGCTGGCTTGATTTATTACAACCCACTCTTGCTGTGGGAACTACTTAGTGAGATCGCTCTCCCTCCTGGGAGAAGGCGTTGATCTTTTCATGAAGGACCTGCCACCATGCCGCATGCGCCGCCTGCTGGGCCCCCACCTTGCACCACTGCTGTATCCGGTGTCAAGTGTCCCTGTAAGTTTCTGTGGGGACACTCGAGCCATAGCGCCATTTGTAACCCTGTGCAAACAAGGGGATGGAGAAGTGCAGTGCTGCATCGTGCCCAGAAGGGGGAGCTGGAACAGTTGTCTGAACCCACTGATGACTGTCAAAGACCACACACATGCTGTTCCGAGATGTCATGCCAGTGCATCTTGAAATAGCTTGGTCTTTTCCTTTTTTATTAAAAAATGTTTCTGGGCCAGCAGATGGCATGGAGGTAAAAGGCTGGATCCCACATAGCCAGTTCCGTGGTTCGAGTCCCAGACCCGATGGCTTACAGATCACACTGAGGACATATGCATGTGTGCCCAGGATCCTGAGTGGAGACTGGAAGAGAGGGGTGATTTCTCACTTTCCCTCACTTGGCTCATGATCTGGTGGCTAGAACGTCTAAGGGCATGGCATCAGCCTCTGGTGCCACGGCACAACGTGGCCAACGGTGGTGTAAAGGCCAGAGGGGGCGTGCAAAGAGAAGTATGCCAGCAGCTGGCTTGATTTATTACAACCCACTCTTGCTGTGGGAACTACTTAGTGAGATCGCTCTCCCTCCTGGGAGAAGGCGTTGATCTTTTCATGAAGGACCTGCCACCATGCCGCATGCGCCGCCTGCTGGGCCCCCACCTTGCACCACTGCTGTATCCGGTGTCAAGTGTCCCTGTAAGTTTCTGTGGGGACACTCGAGCCATAGCGCCATTTGTAACCCTGTGCAAACAAGGGGATGGAGAAGTGCAGTGCTGCATCGTGCCCAGAAGGGGGAGCTGGAACAGTTGTCTGAACCCACTGATGACTGTCAAAGACCACACACATGCTGTTCCGAGATGTCATGCCAGTGCATCTTGAAATAGCTTGGTCTTTTCCTTTTTTATTAAAAAATGTTTCTGGGCCAGCAGATGGCATGGAGGTAAAAGGCTGGATCCCACATAGCCAGTTCCGTGGTTCGAGTCCCAGACCCTATGGCTTACAGATCATACTGAGGACATATGCATGTGTGCCCAGGATCCTGAGTGGAGACTGGAAGAGAGGGGTGATTTCTCACTTTCCCTTTCTCTGGCTCTCTCTGACAAGCACACGCACCCTATCACAAAACTAAAAAAGGAAAAAAAAGTTTCTGTCTGTATTTTGGGTAAGTCACATGGTCCAAAATGCAGCAGCCTCCTGGCTCGAGTCTGTTTGTCAGTGTAAGGGAACACGGTGAAAAGTTTTACTCAGTAACCTGGCCTCTCTCTCAGGAACCAACCGGGTTAAAAGGTTTTGTGTATATTCATATTATAGTTATTCTGACTTCACAGTGTAACTGGTTCGTGTCATTCGACTGTACGGTCTGTCTGGCTGTCTCTCCTGCTGGGCATTGGCATCAAGTCGTCTTTGCCATTATAAAGACCGTTCTTGATGTACCCTGTGGGAGGGTGGAGGGGACAGAGGGTGTTCCTTTGGTGTCGCCCTGAGGGTTGGGACACCTGGCTTCTGGGTGTGGCACAGGCACCCTTTTCTAGGGGACTCCTTGGGCCCTGGTCTGCCCTGGGCCTTGTAGTCGAGGTGGAATGGGCTGCTCTGACCCGGTGCAGGCTGCCTTCAGTCCTGTACAGGATGGACCCCGGACCGCTCTGGCAGTTTCTGTGCTGCTATGGAGAGGACCAGGTGCCCCTGCCCTGCGCTCCTGCCAGGGCCTGGTCTCTTGCAGAGGAGGGGTATCACAGAGCACAGGGCTGACTACCGCGTGTATGTGGGACCTCAGAGAGGGCCTCGCAGGGGCTACACCAGGGCCTCTGTTTCTCCTGAAAAGAGCATTAGGGAGCTCTGGTCTCATCCCCATGCTCCCAGGGAAAGAACAGCGCCTCAGGCAGGTAATGCCCCGGACACTGGGGTTCTGAGTTCAGGCCCAGTGCCACCAGAACCAGCCCTGACTGAACTCCAAGGGCAGGCTGGGCACCCTGCTTCCTCCTAGCTTGCTCCTTCTCAGAGCAGGGCCTACCTGCCCCTCCTCGCAGGGAGCCACCTTTCTGCTCTGCACAGCTGTCTTCCTGCCCTCCTGCCCCCAGCAGCCTCTCCAGCAGGACTGGCCTTCTGCCTGGATCCTGGCAGGGCTCCCCCGTTTGTAGGTCACCTGACCTGGGAGTTTCCCCAGCTGTGAAGTGGCTAAACTCGTGGCTGGCGAGGCTGGGGTACACTGACGTGTGTGTACACAGCACAGGGTATAGTGTCGATGTCCCCACAGAGATCGCGGGCCCACAGCCACTCAGCCAACCTGCCCCAAACCCACCCTGTCCTGAGGAGTAGCATAGGAGAAGGCCGAGCCAGCGTGGTGACATAATCCCTCTCTCTCCTTTTTGTCTCCTCCAGGTTTGGTAAGAGAGATTCATTTTCGTCCCCACGCCACCGGGCGTCGTGTTGGCATTGCTGTCCCCGCCGGGGGTGGATTCCTTTGACCCTCTCTTGGCCTGCTCGCCCTTCCGTAGTCCAGAAGCAGACTTGCCAGCAACGGCCTCAGGAACTGGCTCTGTGATGGGTGGCCTTAAAATGACAAGCTGGCATCTGCCCTGCCAGCTGCCGTTCTCTGAGAAGCAGAGACCTGGAGAGTCTCTCGGTCCGTGGGCAGCCCCATCTCCACAGTGGCCTCCATGGCAGGCAGCCCCTGCCCACCAGCAGGAAGTACTTCCAGGAGGGAGGAAGGTGCCCCCTGTCTGGTTCAGGGCACCTTAGCCAGCCTCGGAACCAGCTGATGTGGGCCCCCTCTCTTCAGAAGGGGGATATTCCTGGGGGCTGCGGTGTGGCTCAGTGCTGAGTAAGGCCCTGAAAGACCAGAGGCCATGGGTGCCCCTTGGAAGGGAGGCTGAAGCCCAGGCCACTGCCGATTACTTTGTCCACCCTCCACTTCCAGGTTAGGAGTGGCCTCTTCCATGTGGCTCTGCAAAAATGGGAGCTTCTCTCTTTCCTGGCAAAGCAGAGAAGACAGCCATGGCCCTGGAGTCAGCTTTTAGTGACCCGAGGGGGGAATGCAGACGTCTGCTCTCCACCTGAGCATAATAGTGTGTTTTTGTGTTCTCCTGAGCTGGCATGCTGAGGTCTTGGTGACAAGGAGGGATACTGCAGGCAGTGACTGCTGAAGTGGAGTTGGCTGCAGGCGCTGGGGGGTGTGGTGAGGGAAGAGAGGAGAGCCGCACCGCCTGCTCCCCGGGGCTCAGGAACTCCCAGGGCCCTTAGGGGAGCCTCAGAGGAAAACCCCGCACCTCCCTCCCTGGGACAGCCATGGCCCGCCGCCCTCTCCAGTCGCCACTGTGAGACTTTGGGCCAGTACTTCCTGCTAGATCGGGGAGGGCTGACATCTGGCACGTGTGCCATTGCACCTGCCATCCACAGCAGAGGCAGACACGACAAACTGCAGGAGTTTTCAGGGCTAGGTGGTTGGAGCCTCAGTTCCCCACAGTCTATCTCCCTTAGACCAACCCCTTTTTAGATTTGTGTTTTGGTGGCCTTTGGCTGCCCGAGGTGGGGTTGGGGAGGACCCCAGGACAAGGTTAGGACGAGTTCGCCCCAGGCAGATGTACCAGAGAGAGCTGCAGAGGAGACCTGTGGGTTCCCCCAGCAGGGGGGCCTTCAAGGGCCTTTCTGTCCTGGGTGTGGGAGGGCCAGGACTTCCAACACGCCCTGGGGTAGGGGCTGCTTGGCCGTAAGTGAAGCCACGCTTAGTGAGCACCAGCTGTGTGCCAGGCCAGCGGGTGGGAGGCAGTGATTGCTCTTGCCCACCCAGTACACGAGTTGGCCACAGACTCTAGCACTGTGTTCCTGATGCTTCCAGGTGAAAGGATGGTGGGCGAAATCCCGACCCTCTTTCCAAGGGAAAGCCCACACATTCTGCTGAGTGGGCCGAGGACTCCCGGTACCCTGAAGCCCCTCAGGGACTCTGGGGGAAGGTGGTGCTGAGGCCGGAGCTGAGTGGGACACGGCAGCTGCCCGCCAGTGCTGAGCGCGATACCCTCAGTGCAGGCCAGCCCAGAGCGAGGGTGCCCTCCGGGATGCGAGCGGAAGGGGCAACTCACCGCCCCTCTAAGGGGTGCCCCAGATAGCCCCGAAGGCTCAGACCACAGTGCCAGGGGAGAGGGGCAGGTCTGTGTGGAAGCTGGTGAAGTTCTCCTTGTCTTCACTCCTGCCGAGGTCTGGAGAGTGTCTCTCAGAGAAGGGTCCTTCTTGGTGAGCTGCATGGCTGACTTGCCCTGTACCCTCTACCAGGGCTCAGGCAGCTTCCCCCTGCTTAAGGAGGAGCCAGAATTAAGCCCTCTCACCCTGGAGGCTTGTGGCTGGAAACTTCTCTGCCCTTTGAGCCCCACCTTCTGCCTCAGTTAGAAACTGCAGTGACGGCAAACTGAGCTAGCTGCAGAGGCCGGACTGACGAGTGTTAGGCCAGCCCAGCACGAGCTGAGCACACTGCCACGAGGCTAGCTTGGCCACCCTGTTCTGATAGACGCAGGTTCAAGGAAACATTTCTGTAATGGGGTGAGCCGCCCGTGTGCTCCCTGTGGCCTGTGACCTAGGAAACAGAAGGTCACAGGTACAAGCTATCCCCAGCATGGCTTCCTCCGCCTCCCCAACCTGGCCTCTTTCCTCGCAGATCTCCCACACGGATCCCCGCAGATGGTACGAAGGGACATCGGGCTCTCAGTGACACACAGGTAGGCCCAGTTGGCCTGAGCAGGGAGGGGCTGCAGGCTGGGGAGTCTGTCCTGGTCACTTCCGCAGGGCCCTTTGCCTGTGGTCCTGCCATCCTCTGCGTGACAGCTCTGCACTGCCCCAGGCCCTTGCCTTGTCAGCGCAGCCATGTGGTCTTGCTGATCCTGCACCTGCTCCACCTGCTGAGGGAAGACACCCTTGTCACTGCCCAGGACACAGGACTCCAAGAGAAATAGGGCCCTGTCACGGGGGGAGGGAGGGACCCAGAGCATCCCCGGTAGGTAACGTGATGTCACGTGGGTCCAAACGCTGGCCACATGTCCCTAAGTTCTTGGCTGGCAGTCTGGATCAGCAAGAAGCTCACGAAGGTCTTGATGCTCACACCCGAGGGGGAGGGCCGACATGGGCCTGTTCTCCTGTGGCTGCTGTGGCTACTGTGGCTGGCAGTGGTAGGGGGCATTGTCTCAACACTACTCACAACAGCAGGGCAGCACCGGGCCATGCCCAGGCTCTGGCTGTCTCTGTGAAGGCTGTCATAAATGCAGCGAGGGACTCTGGTCGTGCATGTCGCCACCTGCTGGGACCTTCCATACCCCACAGGGACTGTTCTGCTCTCTGGCCTGGGCAGGAGGTCAGCTGGAATTCTTACCCCGGACCGGGACACCCAAGCTCTTGAGAGCTGAAGAACCTGTCTGAGGTCACGTTGCCAGTAAGACAGTGCTTGCCTGAGAGGCTCCCAGGGGCCTCTGTGGAGCCTCGTGGGCCTAGATGCCCATTCCCTGAACCTCAGGGAGGAGGGTCCAGGGCTCTTGGGGTGAAGGCCAGAGTGCGTCCCTTAGCCACCTCCCAGGGGTCAAGTGTGATCTTCCAGGGGCCATGAGAGAGTAGTCGAGAGCAGGACCTTTGAAGTGGGGGACCCTGCCCACTCTTGCCCCTGTGAGCTGCTGTAACCTGTTCAAGCCTCTGTCTGCCCTTCTGCAAATGGGATGGTGATGTCTCCCTCCCAGGCCTGTCATGAGGCTCAAATGCAATGGTGTGCGTGTGAGCATCGTGTCCCAGTGGTTGGGGAGCCCTCAGTACTGATCCTCAGGCTCCGGCACTGGGAGAGGCTGGCGCTGTCCAAGGGGCAAGTCGCCTTTATCATATCCCTGCCTCCATGGAGGCTTTGGTGCTGAACTGCATTGCCCCAGGTGTTCCAGGCTGCTTCACCATCTACTTAGGGCTGCAGGTCCCTCAGCCTGCCCTCCTAGAGGGCCAGCAGCCCTGCTCTGGCCTTGCTGGGCTGTCCTGCCCACTGCACCCCAGGTTCTAGGCTCTGAAGATGAAGTCATGATCACGCTCTCTTTATTCATTGTTTTATTTTTTTTTTTAAGTTTCTTTGTTCCTCCTGTGAGCAAGAGAGAGCACCATCAACAGGATCTTGACATTAATCCACCCCCAACCTCTGCCGACCCTGGGCTATCGGCATGTGCATGCCTAGTGCACTCGGGGCGTGACCCTTGTGCTTTTTTTTTCTTGAGAACATCACCCGTTCAATCCTTAGCCTTCCTCCCAATCTTCCTCCCAGTCTTTATTATTTTTTTTAATGTTGGATTGAAGATACGTTTTTATGTTCAACATTCAAGATGTGTAAAAGAGTATAGAGATAAGTCCCCTCTCACACCTGTCCCCAGCTCCCTTGACCCCACTTTAGATTGACCTCAGCAGGTGTTTTTTTGTTTGTTTATTTGTTTGTTTATTTCTTTAAGAGAGAGTTTTGCTATAGGGCGCATGTACTCGCCAGAGAAACAGAGACAGACAGAGAAAGAAAGCAAGAAATCACCCCCAGGGTGATGGCCACAATCCCTCTTCCTCCGTTCTCCTCTCAGGATCTTGGGCATGCATGCACATGCACCCTGTGTGAGGATTAAGTTTTGGTTGTGGGACTCAAACCATGATCAACTACGTGGGAGTCCAGGGACAGAGCCATTACGCCAAATGCTGGTCCCAAGCCATATTCTATGTATCCTTCTAGAGATATTTTATACAAACAAATACAATCATGTCTTCTTCTGCCTCTTTTTTTCTTTTTTTTTTTTAAGTTTTTCTAAGTTATGTGTGCTTCTTTGAGACAGACACAGAGATAGAGCGAGCAAGCCATGTAGGCTGACCATGCCACTTTCCCTTCTCCTCTGTTCTTTCAGGATGTTGGACACACATGCACATGTGCCCAGTGTGTTTTTCAAGCTGCCAGGTCCAGGTCTCAAACCAGGCAGGTGGCCACTTGGGATCCAGCTGCCTTAATCTCCATGCCCCTGGCTGGCTCCTGCCCCCGTTTCATTCACACAAACACTGCATGTATTATGAGCATCGTTCTATACTTGTTTTTTTTTTTCCTTTTAAAATCAAAACATAATTTGTGTAGAGCAAAATGCAAAAATGAATTTTTATTTCGTGTGTGGATGGGGGGAGTAGTCCAAAAGTTCATGGAAAATGCATGTTATGCAGCAAGCTTGTACTTATAACTCCATTGTCCACGGCCTTTCTGACATTTCCTCATGTATCTATGCCTGTGTGTGCCTTCCAGATGAAGGTACAGAACAGCCCAGCGCCCCAGAAAGTTGTCTTTGGCTGTTCCCCGTTGATAACGATCCCACTGAGCAGTTATTACTCACGTCTGTCCTCAGAGATGAGCTCTCCTGTACTTGGACCCCGGAAGCACGCGTCAGAGCCTTATACCTTACTTACAGCTCATCCAGATACCTTACTTTTTTCGCTTGATGGTGTGACTCGGCGGTCATTCCGTCCTGCACGAGAGAACCCCTTGTTTTCTGGCAACAACAGTGTCCGCTGTGTGGCCGGACCCTACTTTTATCAGTCACCGGGTGGACACGTAGGTCATTTCTAGTCTTACTGAAGGAACGTGCCACGCCCCTTCCATCATGTGACCGCCGCGGAGTATCTGTTAGATAAACTCCTAAGACCGGGATTGCCGGGTCAAAGGACCATGCCCACTTGAATTCCGATTGTTACCGCCACATTTGGCCTCAATGACCACACCGACCTCAGGATGTGGACAGGGATGACTTTGTGTGGGAGACGTCTGAATGCCGGGGGGAGCAGTGGCCCCCGGGTCTCCCTGGCCTCTGTGAGAGGAGCCGTGTCTTCCAGTTCCCCGCATCTGTGTGGGAACCCTTCTGTGGGCAGGCCCCGGTCTCTGGGCCGTGAGATGTGCGTGTGTCCCCCCACAGGTTCTCCACCAAGTCCTGGCTGTCGCAGGTCTGCCACGTGTGCCAGAAGAGCATGATGTTCGGAGTGAAGTGCAAGCATTGCAGGTGATGGAGGGGCGGGAATGCGGGGCAGCGCTGCGCTTCCCAACCTTCTCTTCCTATTCCGGCCTTCAGAGAAAGTCAGAGTTCAAAGCAGATCCCTTACAGCTGCTCTTCATAATCCGCTCAGGACACAGGTGGGGGGGGAGGTGACCTGGTCCCTGCAGGGGAGATGAACCAGGCACTCCAGGTAGAAGGGAGTATCGGAGGACGAATAGAAGTTTGCTGGGGACCAAGGGAAATGAGTACTTCAGGCAGGGGAGCCCTGTGCACAGGGGTGGGAGGCAGGCGAGGCCCGCAGCAGGAGCAGAGCTGTGGCATTTAGCCTCGGGTTTTAGCACACAGGTTGGGACCCGGTCCCTGGAGTCCTCGCGTAACACAAACATTCCCCTTTGAACTCCTTTTTTGGTGCATTCAGGTTTGTCTCAAGCTCCAAACATGGGTAGGGGATGGCCTCCAGATAAGTGCCGGCCTGCGATGGGTTAAAGCGGGGTGGTAAAGCTGCTTGGCTGTGAGGTTGGCGTGGGGTGATGCTCAGCAGATAGGGACTGCTCAGACAGGGGGCGTTGGGGTGTCCCGCTCTTTGAGCTGACGTCTGCTGAGAAGTCGGTGGAGGTCAGGGCAGTCCGGTGAATGCTCTCAGAGCCAGGCAGGCCGTGCTCCTGAGCCCTGCGTGTGCCCTGGAGCCTTCACCTGCCCCCCATGCACCAACCCTGTCTTCTTTTCAGGTTGAAGTGTCACAACAAGTGTACGAAAGAAGCCCCCGCCTGTAGGATATCCTTCCTCCCACGTGAGTTTCCCACCCTTCCTCCGCCTTGGGGATCTCGGGCCAGCCCTTCTTCAGCCTGACCTGTTTCCTGCCTGGTAGGTCTCGCCCCTTTTCCAGCCGTCCCCAAGCTTCGGAGGACAGAGTCCGTCCCCTCGGACATCAACAACCCAGTGGACAGAGCCGCTGAACCTCATTTCGGAACTCTCCCCAAAGCGCTGACAAAGAAGGTATGAGCCACGGCCTGGTGGTCAGCGTGGTGGCGGGGAGGTCCGCCACCCCGGCCTGGCATGCCTTTCCATAGAGCATCCGTGACAGGGAGGCTCAGTGGGCAGTGTGACATGGCACCCCAGCCCATGACATGCGGCCAGAAGGTGACTTTTTAAGGGACATACCCATTGTCATTCTTAGGCTTCACACTTACAGCTAAATGGTAATGAGGTAGCCATGAGTCCTACCCTCCTCCTTTCCTTCAAGCTAACATTTCCTGAGCACTGACTGTTTTTCTTTTCAACGTTTCATGTTTCTATTTTTATTTTTTCTTTCTTTTTCTTTTAAGAATTATTTATTTGATTTGTTATCATTATGTATTTTATAATTTGACCAGAGAGAGAGAGAGAGAGAGAGAAATTGAGAAAGCAAGCCTCTGTGTCTGGGACTCAAACCATGGTTGGCCATGTGGGAGTCCAGTGCTAACATCACTATGACACCTGCCAGCCCTCTAATTTTTCTTTTTAAAGATTTTTTATTCCATGAGTAAGAGAGATGGGGATGGAAAGAGAAATATCAAAATATCAGCTGTCAAGACTCTGATAGGATCTCGATGCCACGATGCTCCCCCATCCACAGCCAGCCCAGATCCTGGGTGCACGCAAGCCTGGTGTATTCAGGATGTCTCCTGACATAACCTGGCAACCTTCCTATGTGGGGTGCTGGCACAGGGCCGGGTTTTACTGCTGTGCCACCCTCTGGCCCCTGCTCCAGGAAGTGTTTCCATTGGCATTTCATTTGACTCTCACTGTAATTCTAAAGGACACAGAATGATGTTACTGCCATTTTACAGATGAGGAAACAGCCCCAGGGCTCCCCAAGAACAAGAGGCAGGCCCAGAGTGGGCACCTATGAGGCCATCTAGCCCCAAAACCCGGGCCCTGTCCCAGTGCGGCACTTACGCCTTCGGTTGTAACCTGAAGCGGGGGCATGGCCTCCGCCGTGCTCAGTGCTGTTGCCCTTACAGGGACGCTCCCAAAAGAAATACAGAAAAGTGCATTTCTTTTTTTTTTTTTCTTTTTTGGAGAGGTTTTCGCTATAGGGCACATGCGCTCACCAGACAGACAGAGAGGGACAGAGAGACAGAAAGCAAGAAATCACCCCCCAGGGGGGATGACCACGCTGCGATCCCTTCTCCTCCCTTCTCTTCTTGGGATCTTGGGCACGCACGCACACGCCCCCGGCGTGAATTTTAAGCCACCGGGTCCAGGATGCAAACCACGGTCGACTACATGGGAATCCAGCGACATAGCCATTACGCCAACTGCTGGTCCCCTGAAAAGTGCATTTCTTCACGTAGCTAGGGTCCGGCTTCTCTGCTGATGCCCCCCAGGAGGGCCTAGAGAGCTGTCATGGGCCCCTGTGTACAACCACTGCCATGGGGCTCTGTGTTCTCAAACGTTGGGTCCCAGCTCCCAGACCGTGGGCTTGGCGTGTGCCCCCCGGATAGGGGATTATGGCGATGGCTGCCCTCCATAGCTCAGGCCAGTTCAGTGGAGATGAGGGCCGAGAGAACAGAGGCAGGCCGTCTTCACAGTCTCCACCTTAACCGATAGCCACCTGGCTCATGTTTCCATGTAAGAATTCATTTATTTTTCTTTCTTCCTTTTAAAAAATTTGTTAGAGGACATAAGCACACGCCATAGAGAACAGAGAGAGAAGGAATAGGAGAAAAGAGCCGCCCCCCTGCCCCCATACGGGGTGGTCACACCTCAATCTCTTTTCCTTTTCTCATTTTGGATTTTGGGCACATGCGCACCTATGCCCGTGTGTTTTTCAAGCCACCAGGTCTGGGATTTGAACCGCACAGCTGGCCGTGTGGGATCCAGCCACCTTAACCACCACTCCACTAGCTGGCCCAAGAATTCATGTTTATGTAATCATCACTATCATAATTGCAAAAACCACCATCCCTTGTCAAAGATAGAAGGTGGTCATTAAAATAAACACAGTTAAAACCAGAACTTGATTAAATTCCACTGGGGTATCAAGCTTGCTGAAGGCTCAGAGCTTGAGGCCTGGCTGTTGAGGAGAGCAGTGGGTGTCAGAGAGCCTTAGCCACAGCGGCTGTGCTGGCCGAGGCCTGCTCCACACAGGAGGAAGAGGAAAGCACGCTCCTCTCTGGCTCTGTGTGCCCCACGTTCTCCGCGATGTGTCCGAGGGCCTGCTAAAGTCACCCCACAGGCCACCAAGCCTCCATGTGTCCCACAGCTGGCACTGGCCTATGTGATCTGTCAGCAGAGCCCACACCTGATTTCAGGAGTGAAAGGGATGACATTAACATTTCAGTTGGGACAGCAGGAGCAAACTAGGCCTGTCCTGACAGGCCAGCTACTTTGCCCATCTTCTACAAAGTTCATTCCAGCTCTAGAATTTTTTTTTTCTTTCAGTTTCTCTATTCTGGGGAAGAGAGAGAGAAACAGGGAGACGGGGACCCCTGACAGTCTTCACCCTGCAATCCACCCCTAGTCTCAGCTAGCCCAGGTCACAGGCCTGCTTACTTGCACTGAGCATGCTCAGGGAAGTCCCAGGACATGAACCCAGGACCCCACGTGGGTCCAGCTGCATTACTGTTGCATCACCACCTGGCCCCAGCTCTGGAACTCTGAACCCGTCCAGCCTAAGCCGTTACCTCTCAGGGTTTTGTAGTCTAACATGGCTTCTGAAAGGGCTACACCATGGCACAGTGGCCACACAACATTCTCCAGTGCTGGATTGGGGGAAGGTTCTAAGTTCACATCCCGATGGCTCCTTGTACACTCCCGGTACGTGGCCGTAATCGGGGGAACTGAAGCCAGAGTGGATCATGGTCCGACAGCTCTATTAGGGTGTTGTCTCTGTCTTTCTAGCTCATGGAAAAATTAACTTAAGAAATAAAGGGGCAGGGCAGTGTTACTCTGAGTTCCCGGTGCCTTTAGAACCGTCGGGGCCCCAGCCAGTGCTGTGGTGGTGTAAATGGCTGAATCCCACATGGCCAATTAACGATTCAAATCCTGGGCCTGGCAGCTTAAAAAACATGCCAGACATATGTGCACGCATGCCCCAAATCCCAAGAGGAGAATGGAGCCATGGCCATCCGCTTTTGAGGGGTGACTTCTCACTCACTGTCTGGTAGACACACACACTCTGTAATAAAAACTAAAATAATAATAGTAATACTCACCAGGTCTGTGGAGACCAGGCTGGTACACCTCTCATTCATTGCCCAGAGCCAGGCACAGGGATGTGCAGGAAGCCCCTGCCCTCCCGGAACACGCAAACCACGGTCGACTACATGGGAATCCAGCGACATAGCTATTACGCTAACTGCTGGTCCCCTGAAAAGTGCATTTCTTCACGTAGCTAGGGTCCGGCTTCTCTGCTGATGCCCCCCAGGAGGGCCTAGAGAGCTGTCATGGGCCCCTGTGTACAACCACTGCCATGGGGCTCTGTGTTCTCAAACGTTGGGTCCCAGCTCCCAGACCGTGGGCTTGGCGTGTGCCCCCCGGATAGGGGATTATGGCGATGGCTGCCCTCCATAGCTCAGGCCAGTTCAGTGGAGATGAGGGCCGAGAGAACAGAGGCAGGCCGTCTTCACAGTCTCCACCTTAACCGATAGCCACCTGGCTCATGTTTCCATGTAAGAATTCATTTATTTTTCTTTCTTCCTTTTAAAAAATTTGTTAGAGGACATAAGCACACGCCATAGAGAACAGAGAGAGAAGGAATAGGAGAAAAGAGCCGCCCCCCTGCCCCCATACGGGGTGGTCACACCTCAATCTCTTTTCCTTTTCTCATTTTGGATTTTGGGCACATGCGCACCTATGCCCGTGTGTTTTTCAAGCCACCAGGTCTGGGATTTGAACCGCACAGCTGGCCGTGTGGGATCCAGCCACCTTAACCACCACTCCACTAGCTGGCCCAAGAATTCATGTTTATGTAATCATCACTATCATAATTGCAAAAACCACCATCCCTTGTCAAAGATAGAAGGTGGTCATTAAAATAAACACAGTTAAAACCAGAACTTGATTAAATTCCACTGGGGTATCAAGCTTGCTGAAGGCTCAGAGCTTGAGGCCTGGCTGTTGAGGAGAGCAGTGGGTGTCAGAGAGCCTTAGCCACAGCGGCTGTGCTGGCCGAGGCCTGCTCCACACAGGAGGAAGAGGAAAGCACGCTCCTCTCTGGCTCTGTGTGCCCCACGTTCTCCGCGATGTGTCCGAGGGCCTGCTAAAGTCACCCCACAGGCCACCAAGCCTCCATGTGTCCCACAGCTGGCACTGGCCTATGTGATCTGTCAGCAGAGCCCACACCTGATTTCAGGAGTGAAAGGGATGACATTAACATTTCAGTTGGGACAGCAGGAGCAAACTAGGCCTGTCCTGACAGGCCAGCTACTTTGCCCATCTTCTACAAAGTTCATTCCAGCTCTAGAATTTTTTTTTTCTTTCAGTTTCTCTATTCTGGGGAAGAGAGAGAGAAACAGGGAGACGGGGACCCCTGACAGTCTTCACCCTGCAATCCACCCCTAGTCTCAGCTAGCCCAGGTCACAGGCCTGCTTACTTGCACTGAGCATGCTCAGGGAAGTCCCAGGACATGAACCCAGGACCCCACGTGGGTCCAGCTGCATTACTGTTGCATCACCACCTGGCCCCAGCTCTGGAACTCTGAACCCGTCCAGCCTAAGCCGTTACCTCTCAGGGTTTTGTAGTCTAACATGGCTTCTGAAAGGGCTACACCATGGCACAGTGGCCACACAACATTCTCCAGTGCTGGATTGGGGGAAGGTTCTAAGTTCACATCCCGATGGCTCCTTGTACACTCCCGGTACGTGGCCGTAATCGGGGGAACTGAAGCCAGAGTGGATCATGGTCCGACAGCTCTATTAGGGTGTTGTCTCTGTCTTTCTAGCTCATGGAAAAATTAACTTAAGAAATAAAGGGGCAGGGCAGTGTTACTCTGAGTTCCCGGTGCCTTTAGAACCGTCAGGGGACCAGCCAGTGCTGTGGTGGTGTAAATGGCTGAATCCCACATGGCCAATTAACGATTCAAATCCTGGGCCTGGCAGCTTAAAAAACATGCCAGACATATGTGCACGCATGCCCCAAATCCCAAGAGGAGAATGGAGCCATGGCCATCCGCTTTTGAGGGGTGACTTCTCACTCACTGTCTGGTAGACACACACACTCTGTAATAAAAACTAAAATAATAATAGTAATACTCACCAGGTCTGTGGAGACCAGGCTGGTACACCTCTCATTCATTGCCCAGAGCCAGGCACAGGGATGTGCAGGAAGCCCCTGCCCTCCCGGAACACATGGTAGGGAAGGCGTCAGAAAACCACCTAGGGACAGGTGCAGGTGACAAGCCCCAGTTACAGAACCCTGGTGAAGGAGCTCTGGGAGCTCTGGGAGGAGGAGGAAGAGCACGGGCCCAGCCAGGGTTCAGGCAGAATGTTGGAGCTGAAAAGAGAAAGACGAACAGGAGGCTTTGTGGGTGTTACGGAGCGGGTCTCTAGGCCATGCCTCCTCAAATATCAGACCCGTAGTCTTCTAGAGGGCAAGCCCTGGGGGCCCCGTCCCCGGGACTGGGCTCTTCCTTTCTAGATGGCACATGGGAGGCAGGCAGTGACAGCCCTGCCCACCCGGTGTCTGGCCCTGCAGGAGCACCCGCCAGCCATGAACCACCTGGACTCCAGCAGCAACCCGTCTTCCACCACGTCCTCCACGCCCTCCTCGCCAGCGCCCTTCCCGACCTCGTCCAACCCATCCAGTGCTACCACGCCCCCCAACCCCTCACCTGGCCAGCGGGACAGCAGGTTCAACTTCCCAGGTACCACGCCTCGGGCTTTTCCAGTTCTCAGGGGCGCGGTCAGATCCCTTGTCTCAGTGGACCCAGCAGGTCCTGGTCACACGCTGCTGCCACTAAGAACTGACGATAGTGGGGCACTCACCAGGCACCTCGAGCTCTGGTTAATGCTGTCGTTGCACCCACTTTACACATGGGGACACAGGCTCAGAGAGGGAGCCGTGGCTCACCCCGAGTTGTATGGCTAGTAAGTGACGTAAAGCCTAGGCTCCAGACCCTGTCCCCCACTGTCCTCATTGGCACAGAGCGGCTTCTCCCAGCCTTGCTCACTCGCTCACTCTGGCGGCTGCTGAGCTCCCAGGAGGTATGGTGGCCAGCAGGGGGAGCTGGAAGGCTGCGGAGAGAGCAGCTGGCCATGGCCCACCCGGTCTGACCTGGGCAAGCTGCTCACAGAGGAGACCTCTTGTCCTCTTTCCACGAAATCAGAACACACGAAGTTGGAGCTAGACTGTCCCGACTGTGTAGACGGGGACACCACTGCAAGGAGGGAGCAGACCTGAGCTGGAGCTGAATTCCGACTCCCCAAACCCCGGTCACCCTAGGGTCAGAGAAGCCAGGACCGCAGCCTCACTTGGCCTTGACGGCCAGCTGGGCCTGGAGTGTCCTGCCTCTGTGAGGAGCATGGTGTCACCCATATCCATTTTGGGTCTGGGCTGCTGCCATGGCCCCCCTGGAGCTCAGTTTGCTCCAGTTTGCAGTCCTGGGAGAAAGAGGGCGGCTGTGGTGCTCCTGTTCGCACCTGCCCAACCACAGGCCATCCCAGCCTCAGCCTGGGAATCCCGGTCAGGCCCGTCATGGCCCCTGGTGCTCCAGGCCTGGAAGGACAAAGTGCAGCTCTTCCTGAGCCAGGGGACAGCCACAGAAGGCTGGATGACCTCTGTGGCCCATCTCCCCAGGGTGCAGGGTTTGGGGTGGCATGAGACTCTTCCTCTGTGCCTGTCCCTTGGCTTCGCTGTGCGTGAGGCTGGATCTCTCCTGGTAACGCATTGTCCTGAGCATACCCCAGCCCCCCACGACGGCGCAGTGGTTCTTAACCTCTTTGTCCACTCTTGGCGTGAGCCGTTTGGTTCCTAACGTCTTCTCCCACGCTGTTCTGTCATCTTACTCTGAAGTCGGGCCTTTTGCTGAACCTCCTAGTTTTTCTGACAGGATGGGCCTACTGAACAGTAACAGCCACAGAGTGAGTCCTTCTGTAGCATCAGCCGGACACTCCATTTCCCCAGTACTCCCAGACTGGGCCCTCAGTGGCCCCTGCAGAGACCACACTGTCCCCATGAGATGGGACCTCTCTGTGGCAGCACTGACACCTCTGACACACACACACACACACACCAGGGCTGGCCTGGCCCTGTAACTAATCTGGGGGACAACTGCTCATATCGTCCACCCACTGTGCGCTCTATGGGAGCATTGCAGTTGGTCTTTGAGGGTAAACTTAGGAAGGGTTATCTCAACCCCCATTTTATGAGGAAACACCTGGAGAGGCCAGCCAGCTTCCAGGGTCCCAGAGCATGGGCTAAGGGGTTCCATTGTTCTGTATATGACACTGTTAAACCGGTTCCGAGTCACTGTTCCCTCCCACATTGCCTTTTTCTCCTGGGCTCCAATGCGTTGCACAGAACAGACATGGGCCTGGCCAGGGCCCTGTGGTAGGATGGCTGCTGAGGTGGGTCTCAGAGCCCCCGCCCCGGCCCACCTCTGGTGTGAGCCCCTCTGCTCCCAGGGGTTCTCACCAGCTCCCATTTTTTCCCAGCTCTTTCTTCCTCCTTCCTGCATGGCTCAGCCTGTCCTTGCCAGGCCTGCCTGGGGTGGGCCAGTGGGGGGCTGCCCCACCCCATAACCAGTCCCTGTCTCCTAGCCAGTGCCTGCGCCCCGCTCCTCCCTCGCTGCGTTTGCTGTTCTGTGTGTGTGACTCACCTCCTCTTCTGTTTAAAGCTGCCTACTTCATTCATCATAGACAGCAGTTTATCTTCCCAGGTGAGTCCTTCGCATGGTTCCCCTGACTGCTGTGACCCCTCGGCCCCGAGTGCTCTCTCCCTGGGCTCCTTTGGAGGTACAGGAGTCTCTCCACCTATCTTGAGAGCTGAGTGCCCATCAAGGCTGGGCGAGGAGGCAGGGCCAGTGTCCTAGAGGTGGAACCCTTCCAAGAGCAGTGCCTGCTGAGAGGGACCCTAGGATCCATCCTGGTGCAGCCTCTGGCCCAGAGACTGCAGGTGACTTGTTCAAGGTCACGTAGCCAGGAGGTGGCAGAAGCAGGACCAGAACCCGAATTTGCAGGCGGGGAGAGAGGACTTTTTGCTGATGCCTATGAGAATCTATCACCATGTCCTCCCTACATAATGACAGGGAAAGGGAAACCATCTGGGAAGGGCCGCAGACTTCATTAATTCCATGGGCTTCATCTTTCTGAACCTTGCCTCACAGTGCCATCTGCTGGCCATCTTTGGAGATGCTGCCTTACTGCAGTAAGTTTAAAGGAAAAAACTTAGTATTCAGTAAAACAATCCATTGATTCCTCTCCACAAAAAATATATGGCACACCTACTCTGCCAGATTTTGCATTTGAGCATATTTTTTAAAAATAATTATTTATTTCATTTTATTTATTTATTCATTTATTTTACTTTGACCAGAGAGAGACACAGAGAAAGGGGAGGTGGGTGATGAGAAAGCAAACCAGGTCTGGGACTTGAATTGTGGTTGGCCAGTGGGGGTGTCCAGTGCCTTAACTACCATACCTGCTGGTCCCCAACATTTGAGCATATTCTTGCCCCTAAGGAGTTTATAGGTTTAGTGCTTTTTTTTTTTTTTCCTGTAGCTAAAGATGACAAGTATGACAGGTATGTGTTTTAAATCAGCAGTTGTCAACCCTTTTGGCACCAGGGACCAGTTTCGTGGAAGATAGTTTTTCCACAGACCAGGTGAGGGTGGGAGGGATGGTTTGGGGATGATTCAAGCACATTGCACTTATCGTGCACGTTATTTCTGTTATTATTGCACGGTATTAACTAACAAAATAAATACACAACTCACCACAGTGCAATATTTGCTGCCACTCCCCAGTGCTAGCATCACCACCTCAGCTCCACCTCAGATCATCAGGCACTAGGTTCTCACAAGGAGCGCGTGACCAGGTCCCTCACCTGCACAGTGTATTACAGGGCTTGTGCTCCTCTAAGAATCTAATTTGCCTCTGATTTGACAAGAGATGGCGTGCAGACGATAATGCAAGCAATTGGGAGTGGCTGTACGTACAGATGAAACTTTGCTCGCTGCTGCTCACCTCCTGCTGTATAGCCTAGTTCCTAACAGGCCACAGTACCTGTCTGTGGTCCAGAAGTTGGGTGCCCTTTTTGAGATAGACCATAACTAGCTGGGTTTTCCCTAGCTAAATAGGACTATCTTAAAGTCACAGCATTTTGGCTATCCTGGGCTTCTCCGCTGCATTAGATTGACTTTGGAGCATTTGTGAACTCCTTCCATATATGGCTTGTTTGGGCAGGTGCAGGCTGGCAGCAGGCAGGGGCCTGGGACTTGCCCCACAGAGGCTCCCTGTGAATAATTGACCTGCCTCTATGGTTTCGCCCCTGTTCTTGCTCCAAAGACATCCTGGTTACTAGTTGTAGGACATACACATGGAAATAGCCTAAAACATTCCCCATTGTTTTGGCTTATCCTCCAGCCAAACATGGCTGTTCTTCCAGAAAAGTACTTTTTACCCTAAAGATGTATTGAGAGGGGAATGAAATACGTTTCTACGAAGACAAACACGGGTACGTTTTGGAGCAGAAAACACGATATATCATGCTTTATAGAAAAGGACGAGGCTTCAGAGACATCTTGCCCTCCCGCATAGACTAGGATCCCCCCAAACTTTGAACTCCCTCCACCCTGCCCCACTGCAACGTGTGGTCTTCTGTAGAAACTTTTGAGCAGAGTTGCACAGGTAGACGTGTCTAGGCTGCAAAGAAGGGGTGTCTGGGAGAGGCCTCTGTAGAGACTGCTAAGTTCCAGCCTCTCCCAGAGCTGTGGACAGGGTGTTGGTGCACACGTGTGACCACCTGAGAAGCCTCGCAGTCCCCACGGTCCTCCAAGTCTGAGTCCCAGAGATGTCACTAGCCTTGGGTTCAGACGACCTTCAGAGCTAGCCTTGGGGAAAGCCCTAGAGGGAAGTCCAGCAAGAGCTGGTGCCTGGGGCCAGGGGCCTGAGGGAGTTGCAGAGGCTGGAGAGGGGAGCTGTAGGCAGTTTGAGCCACCACCACTTCTTGTCTCTTTCTGTGGAAAAGAAGGAGGAGGGGCCCTTGCCAACACTTGTAGTACATCAGTTCCACACTGGGGTGACATCTGGTCTGGTGTCCCTGGACAGGGGACTTTCAGTGCTAAGTTTGGGAATGCCCCAGGCTCAGGGGTGAGCCCCAGCCACCTGGTGTTGGGCCCCTGATCTATAGACTGAATTTCTTCCTCTCCCCTGAGAGCTGCTGCCTCAGTGACCCAAGCTGGAACCTGGGTGGGGCCTTTGCTCCAGAAGCTCCTAGCAGCTGGCCCAGGTCCTGGTGTCACT